GGACCATCGTCAGTACGCAGCTTCTTCGGTATGCCATACATGTTGACTGATTTGCACTTTTAGGGCCTCGATGGTGCTCAAGCTGCTTAAGTCTGGTAGCTTGTCGACCTCGATGTATTTGGAGAAGTAGTCTATTGTGACGATACTACTTCTATCCTTGGCAGTTCTGGTGTTTTTGTAGGACTTAATGTTTCCTTTGCCTGGTTCTGCTGATATGTGTTGCATTCAGCACAGTCATTTACCAGATCTTGCACTTGTTGTGCCATGTTTGGCCAGAACAGTGCTTCTCTAGCCGTTTTCTTGCATTTTACTATTCCCATGTGGGATGCATGGATCTGTGACAGCATATCTGGCCGCATGCTAGGTGGTACAACTATTCTCATAGATTTGTACACTACACCATCATATACAGATAGTTCATCTCTGATATTCCAGTATTCCCTTGTGGAATGGGGCACCTCCATTTTGGTGTCTGGCCATCCCTTCAGGATCATAGTGTGTAACTCGTTGAGTTCATTCGCTGTGCGTTCCTGAAACTGTGTGTATCTAATTGGTGCGAAGTAGTTAATAGCTAGTAGTTAGTAGCTAGTTGGTTCGAGAAGTCCACATAGAGAGTGATCATAAGCCATTGCAGGCTATATATACGAAGCCACTACTCTCAGCACCAATAAGACTGCAGAGCATGCTTCTACGACTACACGCTTGTCTACCGAGTACATTACATGGTGTCAGAAGTTCGAATAACTTCAATTAAAACAATGACAAGATAAAACAGTGGAACTGGAAAAGTGAGTACGAGAACATTGAAACGAATACTTAAGGCATTAAATGAACTGTGTATGAGAAGTCAACACTGAAGATTTGTGCGAAAAGGATCCGTCAAAAGTTCAGACTCGTCTGAATGCTGAATTCCCGCCGGCAGCCATTGACTTTTCGACATTGTTTTATGGAAGCAAGAACCCAACTTGACGAATGCAAACAAGACAAGAGTGAGTAATGTATGCCAAGAAAAAAGTGATACTTGTGAACTGAGCATGATTGTGTTAGCTGTGGAGTAAAATCGATAAACTGACTGTATAATTTACGACCTGTTAAAACACGTACATCATGGCAGAAGGCGGTAGTCAAGACAAACCTGCTATGAATTGGAGAGCAGGGGATCTTGGTAAGGAATGGAAAAGGTTTAAACAACATTGTGAATTCACATTCCAAGGGCCACTTTCTAAGAAGTCAGAACTAGAAAAGGTCAACTATATGATGACTTACATAGGTGACAAAGGCAGAGAAATATACAGTACTTTCTCATGGGCTGAACGAGAAAACGAAACGTTAAAGGGAGTTTATGACAAGTACAGTGAATATGTGGCACTGAAAAGGAACCAAACATGAGCAACTGTCATCTTTAACAGAATAAAACAGGACCAAGGTGAGAGCTTCGACAACTTCGTGACAGGACTCAAAATACTGATCAAGGACTGTGGTTTTGATGTTATAGAGGAACGGATGGTAAGAGTCGCTATCGTTCTAGGATCGCTAAATCCCAAAGTGAGAGAAAAATCCCTAGAAAAAGGGGAGGAACTTACTCTTGAGATGGCGGTGAATATAGGTCAAAATTTCGAGTTGTCTCAAGAAAGCATGAAAGCCATTGCTCGTGAGGAAGACTCCACAGTACATGCTGTGCTAAAGAAGCAGAAGTTCAAAGGTCATCGCAAGCAAGAAGGCAAGCCGTGGCAAGGTCAAAGAGAAAAAACGCAACAAAGCAGAGATCAAGGATCATCCTGCTGTACTCGTTGTGGACACAAGCGCGGACATGCTAAGAATGAATGTCCAGCCAAGGACCAAACCTGTCATAAGTGCAAAAAGAAAAGGCACTTTGCCAAAGTTTGCAGAGGGAAGCCTAGCTCAGCAAACATGATAGTCTATGACAGCGATGACAATACAGATTACACTCATCTGATACACACTGTATTGTCCAACAGTGACCCCAGCACCAATGATTGGTGGGAACATATTACCATAGAGGGACAAGATACGAGAGTGCAGATAGACACAGGAGCTGTACAATCGCTCATGCCATACAGCATGTATAAGTCATTAAAGTCAACTAGTAATCTTGTGCCAATAGAGAAGAGATAACAGTCCTACACCGGTTACAGGATTAGGGTCCTCGGATGCACAACTCTGAAGGCACAGTACAAAGATCAGACAACAAATGTTACATTCTACGTAGTGAATGCACAACAAAAGCCACTGCTGTCAGGCCAAGCAAGTACGAAACTTGGTCTGATCGAAAGAATACACGAAGTAACACTGACAGAAGAGATTGACAAATACCCTGGAGCTAAGGGAGACAACTGGCACACTCCCAGGTATATATCATTTCAGGATTGATCCGACAGTCCAACCTGTAGTCCACGGACCAAGACGTCAGCCTCAAGCTCTCCTCCCAAAAATTAAGGCAAAGCTAAAGGAGATGGAGAGTGAAGGTCAAATAACTAAAGTAGTAAGCCCAACGGACTGGGTGAGCTCTATGGTGGTAGTCCTGAAGAAAGATAAAATCAGGATATGTATTGACCCCAATGATCTAAACCGGGCAATACGAAGAGAACAATACCCAATACCCACCATAGAAGAAGTTCTGGCAGGCAGGCCAGGAGCCAAGGTATTCACAGTGATAGATGCCAAATCAGGTTTCTTGCAGATCAAGCTAGACTACGAATCAAGTCTTCTAACAACATTCAATACTCCTGCAGGAAGATACAGGTGGCTACGTTTACCCTTCGGTATAAAATCGGCACCAGAAATATACCAGAGAATTATGGACATAATGCTGGAAGATATAGAATGAGCGCGAGCAATAATTGATGACATCTTCATAGCAGCAAAGGATTCAGCTGAACACGACAGAATAATGAAGAAGGTCGTTGCACGTGCAAAGGAGTGGAACTTGAACCTAAACTTTGAGAAGTGTCAAGAAAAGAATCACTGCAGAAGGACTGAAGGTAGACCCTGATAAGGTCAAAGCAGTCGCTAACATGCCAACACCACAAAGCAAGGAAGACGTGCGTCGATTCCTAGGATTCATTCAATATCTTGCTAAGTTTATACCAGAACTTAGTGCCATTGAAGAGCCGTTGAGGGAGGTTACAAAGAAAGATATAGAGTTTCACTGGGACAAGCGTCAGCAAAGAAGCTTTGACAAGCTCAGAGATCTATGCTGCAGCACACCTGTACTAGCCTATTACGACCCTGATAAGGAGATAAGAATCCAGTGTGATGCAAGCAGCTTTGCGCTTGGAGGTGTACTACTACAAGAAGGGCAGCCTGTAGCATGCACATCAAGGGCTCTAACGGAGACGGAAAAAAGGTACGCACAGATAAAAAAGGAAATGTTGGCAGTGGTGCACTCCTGCAAGAAATTTCATCATACGTATCGTATCGCGTTCGGCAGAGAAGTCCACATAGAGAGTGGTCATAAGCCATTGCAGGCTATATATACGAAGCCACTACTCTCAGCACCAATGAGACTGCAGAGCATGCTTCTACGACTACACACTTGTCTACCGAGTACATTACAGTGATTGTAATTCACTACTAATTGTGCGTGCTGTGCCTATTATTAATATTATTAGTATTATTAGTAATATTACTATTAGTATTACTATTATTAGCTCTAGTACTAGTAATAGTAGTAGTAGTACTATAGCCCGCGTACAGTTGCCGCAGGGCTATAGAACATTTTATGCCAGTTTTCCTAACTGCACCTGCTCCCCAATGCTTCCACGAAAAAAGGCTCACAAAACGCAAAATGATCGGGCTTTTTAACAAGATTCAAGATTCAAGATTCAAGATTCAAGTTTTTTTATTAGTTATTAGATTATAGTATTAGATTAACACTTATTTATATAGATGTACATCTCACCTATCTTTTTGAACACTTTCCACAACTTTACACCATGTATTTTAATTTATGCATTTATTCCTCAAAGTGCTAGCACTACTTGCGTTTCGTTTTCAAATGTTGTTGTGTACATGCGTGACGTCACTCGAAATGTAGACAAACCACATGGGCAGCTATGATGCAGCCTATTACATTTCGGGTACTGGTATCTCGAGTCGGTTTTTTTCGAAAATACCAGATTTTCACCACTCATTATCTCAGCGTAGGGACATGCGGTTTGTTTTATATTAAAACAAGGTAGGACAGCTGATCAGTAATACTGCAAAGAATCATCAAAATAAAACGGGGAAAGTTTATTAATTCGACTAATACTGCAACATGGTTTCAGGATTTCACCGTTGTACGCTCTCCTTCTTTATGTGCTCTTGATGGTATCTTACATTTCTCTTATTTGTTTTTTATCTGCAGGTGTGTGATGCGTCATGCGGCTGAGGCAACCTGGTGAATTGAAGGATTCCTGTTATTTGACTACGATTACCTCCTTTCATATTGGATTAACATTGTTAATAAAACATGGGTAACTCGGCTAGCCAGACGAACAGTGATGATGATGATTCTGTCACATTTGATTGTGATGCTGAGTCTAATAAAGAGGGACATTTGCCAGCAACCAGTATAGACCTGAGTTTGCTGTTTCAACATGACTCACTCAGGGAAATCACAACCAAGCTGAAACCAGCCACTCCAAATAATGTGTTGCAGCAAAACTGTAAGGAACTGATGCAATGGTTGGAGAGCAGGTATATTTAATCTTATTTTACACAAGTTTCATAATTTATCCTTGTTTTTTTCCATGAGTGTTTGATCAGGGATTATATATAGAAATGACTAGGAATAACAATAGAAATGGTACATTAGCTAGAAATCTGCTTTATGAATAAGTAATTGTAATTATACTTGCCATGGTGTGGCTACCTTGTACATAATTTAATCTATGTACTCACACTTATATTGAGATGTTTAAAAACTTAATTACAAACAGATAAATATAGTATCAAACTTTTATACCAGAAAATCAATAGATGTGCCAAAAGTGGTCTTTATATACGGGTGTGTACGGTAACGGTAGGGTCAATGCAAATTGGAGAAAAAACAACCATGAACAACTAGCCATTGCGTTCAACAGAAATTACCTGTAACTTTAGTGTTTTACCTTGCTTTATTAGGAATTTCTTGGAAGCAAGTATTTGCTGCCAACATTTAGAACAGGTAGCAGACTGAAAGTTATAGGCAGCAAAACTGGTGCTTGCTGACCTTGATTTTAAACCCTGCATTATAAAAAGCGATTCTATCTTGATGGCGATGGTAGAGAAGTTAAGCCGTGCGCACACATGGCGATTTTTATCGCTAGTACTGGCGATTTTGTTGCTGGCGACAGAATCCCCGGTGCAGGGCCCTTGGTGTGGGAAAAAAGCAGGAGGATGTCAGAGCTTGTTGAAATGTGGCAGGAACGCCCCGTGTCTTTTTGACGCCGGTGTCGCGCGAAATTCCTGACGTCTGCGAAATTCATGATATAGGATGCGTATGCGCATGCGTGCCGACCCGACCAATCACAGCTCGTCTTTGTGTACACTTGAACGAACACAAGCTGTGTTGTAATATTTATATTAGTTAGAGTTTAGAGTTGATAGGTAGAGATTGTAGTTGATATTCTGATCAAAAACGACACGGAGCGTCGTTGAAGAGAGCGTTCACATGACGTTTGATCGATCAGTTCTTCGACATGCCTCTGTGCTATGCGAGCTGCCTGCTAGATGCGAACTGAGAAAAAAATACAATGCGTCCAAGCGAACAATCAAGCGAACAATGCGAATTAAACAATCGAACTCTGGCATACGCATCCAATAGCTGCGTTCACACGAGACAACGTGTTTATGAAATACGGTATTTGCGAGATACCGAATCTGAGACAAATTCGCGACCGAGCGTTCACACGCTGATTCGCGGCTCCAGAAATGCCGTATTTGCGAGCTGTGAGCTGCTTTAGTGCGCTGAGAAAAAAAAATGCGTCCACGCGAACAATCAAGCGAACAATGCGAAATAAACAATCAGTGTACAGCAACTGCCGATAAAATACGTAGACTGGTCCGCGCTCGACAGTTCCACTCGCGTTACACTTGAACTGTCGAGCCCGGACCAGTCTATAAAATACGTGGCTTCAGAAATTTGGTATTTAGCGGTCACACGAGGAAATATGTGGTCCAAGAGATTCGGAATTTTTCAAGCCCGGCAAATAATTCGGCATCTGGGAAGCCACGTATTTCAACAAATACCTAATCTATTTAGATTCCGTATTTCTTGGACCGCGCATTTTGCCTCGTGTGAACGCTAAATATCGAATTTCTAGCTACGTGTGAACGCGGCTTATATCATGAATTTCGCAAGTCAGAAATTTCGCGCCACACCGGGTCCCGCACACGTGACGATTAAAATCGCCACATGTGCGCCCGGCTTTAGAAGAGAGGGAGAAAGTGAAGAAATAAATGGGGAGGACATACCCAAGGTGGAAATGGACCAGGGTGGAAATGGTAGAAAAAAGGGAGAAAGGGTATGGAAAAAATGTAGTAGGGAAGACAGCGAAGAGCTATGAACAAGGGGGAGAGGGTAGAAGTGGCAGAGAGGACTAAGTGGGGGAGAAGGAGAGAGGTTGGGGAGAAAATAGATGAAAACAGTGGAAGGTGTAAAATTCGTAGGGAGGGGGTAGTGAGGAAGGGAGATAGGGTATGGAGGAGGGGAAGGGTAGAATAAGAGTAAAATAATGCTCGTCAGTGTTAGTAACATTATCATTGTCAATCAACCACTCCTCCAGCTTTTCAGGTGCACACTTGTATTGCTCCCTCGTGTTGGTGAATGTTGAAAGCCCGAGGTAGCAATTGGTAGCTGAAGAGAAAACTCGCCTCTGTATGCAGTCTCAGTGCGAAATTAACGGGAGTCCGGAGTCAAATACTCCCCGATTTACTGTCGTACTCCCTGATTTGACATATGCAGGAGTCCGTGTGACTCCCTGAAAATTCTGCCATACTAACTAGTTCGTTCCAGAGCACGGCCTCACGTAATTACCGTATTTTTTCATATAATGTCTAAAGAAAATTTGGCAGACGTGCAACTGCATGAATCTTCAAAATAAGCACATGCGTTATTGTTAATATCTTTAATTTTGAACCTCAGACTGCGGACTCCCTCATTTTGCTGTGGCCTCCCTCTTTTTGAGGGTAGGGAGTCCGTTGGGCTCCCGTGTTCAAAAGTTTATTTCTACCCCTGGAGTCTGCTCGAGAGATACAAAATCATTGGCTTCTGGTGGTAGCTTTGTACACGGTTCATAACAGGGAACATTTTATAGCCACTTTGAACTGGTGGCCATTTTGTAGAGATGGTTACTAACATAGGTTTGACTGTATATATATGATTTTCCTAATCATAATCACTGTTTTCTAATGCACGTATGTTTGATTTTCAGACTTGACGTGAATGAGAAGGTGGTGACGGCGTCACAGTTCTGCGAGCTGTTAGGAGGGCGTGGTGCTAGCCGCGAAGACTGCATGCAGGCGTACAGTGCATTCGACTCTGAGGGAACTGGGGAAGCTGAGATAGAAGCTGTTATGGAGGCTTTGCGATCCTCAGGAGGTTATTCATCTTACTCATCTTACTTATCTTACTTATCTTACTCATCTTACTTATCTTACTCATCTTACTC